AGCGCCTTCTGGAAAATTCCATTCCTCTACTGGTCCGTGATTTGAATGGCTCTGACTTGGCTCCCTTTGGGAAGTGTGGATAATGCAATTCAGATTAACTCAGTGTGATGTGAGAGGTGCAGTGGGGAGTCTCGGGGCCACTAGTGCGCGCTCACTAGTGCTTCCAGTCTAGGGAGGTCTCCCCAGCACACCCACAGGACCCTAATTCAAAGTGAAGAAGGAAAAGGCGATTTACAAGAACATGAGCCACGAGTGAGCAAATGGCAGTGGGGTCGGGGTCAGGGAGGATGGGGACAGGGAGGGCTTCAGGGAGGAAGGGGATGCCCCTCAGGGGTTTTCTGCTCACCAGAGAGCCATGAAAAGCACCCCAACGGGCAGATAGGAAAGTGGCCAGGCCACACGGACTGTGTCTGGGCACTGTTTGGCTTTCCATGTTGCTGCAGCATTGAGCACAGGTAGAAGCAAAAAAAAAATTCATCCCTAGCAAAAGCTCTCAGCTGAGAAGTGAGAGCCAGCGCAGGCCAGGTCACATGTCATAGGGAGCAGAGGAAATGGCCTGGTGTAGGAGTCCAACGGAGAGGGGCTGGACTGGAGCAGGCCTGTGAGGTCAGGCAGGATGGTGGGATTCAGAGAGTGGATTGGTTCCCTAAGTGTGAATGCTCCTGGGTTAAGGAAGRATAGCAAACGGGACCAACCAGTTGGGGCTGGGGTGGCAGGGTCAGGTGGGGAGGGGCCTGGGCTCCAGGGAGGCTCTGAAGCCGGGTACCCATCTCAGTGGGAGATGGTTAGGGACAAGTTTGAGGAGTTGCGGTGGGTGTAGGGTGAAGCCATAAACATGCCAATGGGATGRTGGGGGCTGCCACCCACTGGCCACAGGTACTGAACCCTGCTGCCTGCAGGTGTTGTACCCCTTCTGTCTACAGGGGCTGGACCTCTTCTGCCTCAGGTGCTGATGCTTCCCACTTGCTTTCACACCATCCTACTTTGGATGTCATCTGCMAGGCTGGCCTCTGAGCATGACCCAATCCCCGGGCACTGTGTGGCAATGATGGAAGAGCCTTTTTATGGCCCCTAGGTAACTCTAGGGGACTGACCCGGTGGAGCCCAGGCTTGGGCAAGAGAGGGGCCCTCATGTCGGAGACTTGGTCTCGTGAGAGGCTGAAAGCAAAGCCCTCCGCCACCTCCCTCCTGTCCTCCATCTCAGCTCCSCTCCTCCAGGTCTCAGCCTCTGCGCCTTCTCCTGATGACCCCCTCACCCGCCCTTGGCTGCACCTGACCACACCTTGCCTCAGTTCCGAGTGAGGCAGTGGCACACCACTCAGAAGTGGTGKATGTAGTGTCCACTAGCCTCCTGGGCCTCACGTCCCTGGAGCTCTTTGTCCTCTGCATCTCCTCCCCCCGCCCCAMAGATGAACTGAGCACCTCTGGGACCTCTCACACTGTGCTTCCACCTCCTCACCCAGCTGCACCGTGACCCGCCTCGTCTTTCTACTCACCCGACCGCATGGAGGTCTCCTCCATCAGGAGCCGGTGACTATGGCCAGGCCCTTCATAATGCTGCCTCCTGGTCCCTCTGTCACCCCCAATCATCCATGAACGTTCCCCTGCCCCACAGAGGGACTTCTCACCCTCATCAACATACTCTCTCTCTCTCTCTCTCTCTCACACACACACACACAGCACTTGACCCTGAACCTCAGAGCTGCTCAGAATTCATCTGAAACACCTGCCCCCTGGCCTTGCCTGAATCATTCCTGCCAACTCAGGGACTTGCATCTCCTGGCTTTGGCAGCGGCTGGAGCTCCCACCTGAACCTCTGGATCTGTCCCTGAGCCAAGTCTGCTGTAAGCCCTGATCAGAGGCAGGGAGCCCAGCACCAAGAGCCAGCCTGAGTCTTCTTAGCAGACGCCTTGACACGGCAGCCAGCGCGCGCTCACGCTATGATTTATTAACTAATTTAGCATGTAAGAAAAACATCTGCATCTCGCTTTTATCATCCTGCCAGCAGACAGGCYGAAGACGAGATAGGCACTGCAGACTTGTTTAACGGGCCCTTAAACGTCCCCTCTCACTGGCCTGAGCTCCCACGAGGCTCTGATTTCAGAAGATGTCTGATTTAACTGACCTGACGCAAGCAAACATGAAAGCAAAGCTCTCATCACACCTAAGTACCTCGAGGATGACARGCAGGAGTGGCCACAAACCCATGCTGGCCACGTCCCCTTGAGCACATTCCAGTCGCCAGGGCTGTCTTGGAATTTGGGGTGTAAAGAGGTGCCTCAGTTAGTTAAAGCACTGATGGGGCTGGATCCCCTTTTTATTATACACAGCTTTAAGATTTTCATTGATAAGAAGGTGAACTTGTGAGGATAATTGTTTTAGGGGAAACATCAAAGTTAATTGATGCTGAATTGTGACCCTCCCCCGCCCCCAAGAATRCATCAGAGTCCAACCCCCACCCCCTGCGTCTCAACGTGAACTAGCTGAGGCTAGATCTTGCTGTGACTGTCTTAGAAATATGGTCCTGGCAGATAGAGTCAAATTGAGATGAGGTCCTGCTGGGCTAGGTGGACCCCAGCCCCATGAATGAGAAGAGGAAATCAGGACCCAGGAGGAGGCCGCAAGAAGACAGAGGCAGAGAGGGGAGGCAGGGAGGCGCTCCCAGCCAAGGTCGCCAGGACAGCCGGGAGCAGCGATGGAAGCTGAGAGGGGGCCATGGGACCTTCCCCTGAGTCTCCAGAAGGAACCACTCTCTAGACACTGGCCCCAGAATGAGTGTACATTTCTGTGGCCGTAAGCCATAGCAAACACTCCTGATGACCAAGGTCACATCACCTGGGACACTCAGGACACTTGAAAGCCCCAGCCCGGGAGAGAAGAAACCTATCCTGGTTTGGGTCTGAAACATGCCCCTGCTGGAGCTCTTGGAAGGTGATGGGAACTTTAATAAGCAGGCCTAGCAGGAGGGTTCAGATCCCYAAGACGGTGCCTTCAAAGGGGTAGAGTCCTGGTGAGTCTTTCTCCCTTATGCTTCCTGGCTGCTGGGCAGTGAGCAACTTTCCCCGCCACACACAATTCCACCATGATGTGCCACCTATCACAGGGCCAAAAGCACCGGGGCCGACCAACCACGGACTGAAACCTCCCAAACTATGAGAAAACATAAACCTTTTCTGTTTTTAAGTTGACTTATCTTGTGCTAGGAGCCACAGCAAAAATATTGATACAGGCACCTTTGGGTTTAGTGACTGCCAGCCAGCCATTGAGATTATGATTATGTTAAGTTACATTCATATGGTAATTGGACTCCTGCTGTTTACCTGGGCCCGTTATGGGACTCAGGTTACTACCAAGAGTTCCCATTGGTTGGGGAAGGATGGTAGGAGGGTGTCGTGTCCCGTCCCGTCCCCCCCCCCCCCCCCCCCCCGCGCCGGTAGAGACACACGTGGGTGGACCCACTTGTTAGGGGACGCACACGGCCTCTCACAAAATAAAAACTTTGTCTCAGTTTGACTGGCTTGTGTTTTTGTGCCCAACCGGGTTGCAAGATTGCAAGCCGGCCTGCACTGACAGCCCAGCAGGGAAGCGCCCAGCAGGAGTGCAGCAGGCGGTGCTCCAGCGGCCCGGGGCCGAGCAGCCTGCAGCAATCTTGGGTATTTGTTACAGTGATGGAAAGCTACCAAACACCACCGCACTACACAAGTTTCCTTCTGCCCCGGCTCTCCGTTCCTTCCTACACAGAGTGAAGACCCTTGGCTGAAAAGGAAGACCCTTAGATCCATTAGGTCCGTGAATGTGAGTCTGGCACWCTCTCAAGTGATCTCATATTGTGTTTGCTGACATTAGCTTTGGTTGCATGACCATTTTTATCAAGCAGCCTCATCAGAACTGGAGAGAGTTAGTGGCCATTCAGCCTGGACACCACCACCCAGCCTGCCCAGAGCAAGCCCGGCACTGCGAGACAGGACACACGCACTGGTGGCTGGCTTTCAGACCTTGCGGCACCRTGAGAAGTCTATGCCTGAACCCAGTTGCTCTTGGTGGAGCTGAGGCCAGACAGTCCTCTGCCAAGGACCAGGGGAGCAGCAGGAATCCTATGATAACACCCTTTCCCCTGTCCCCCCAATGCCCCTTATGGGACCTTGGTGATGCTTGCTGAGCTGCACTTTATTGAACATGGTCATTTCCCCAGAGGGATTTTATTTAGAATTTTACTCATGATTTCACCTCCTGGGGTCCAAAACATTTTCCTAGGAAGAGAGAACTCATTCCTTGGTCCAAAGGAATAAAACTGAGGTTTCTTCAGGCCTCTTGAGTCTCACATTTGGGTTGGCAGGCTGTGAAGTGTGCGCTCTGGTGTCCCCCACCCTCGCCTCCTCTTTTCTTGGGATTCTTGCTAGTTTAATAGTCTGTTCATAAGGTCCACGAGAGAAGGACTGAGGTCAGTCTTGCTCACTGTGGTGTTCCCAGCTCCCTGCATGATGCTGGCCTAGAGAAGGTTCCTGATAACTCCTTCTCCCGTGACAGTGAGTGCCCTTTCTCCCAGGGCAGCTCGGCCCTGGCCTCRCAGTGCCCCATGAGCTGGCCACCCCTTGTCTGAGCTGGCAGCAGGGAAGGGGTTTCAAGATGACGAATGTTGATGTAGACAAGCTGCAGTCGACCTCTGGCCCTGAGACGTGTTTTGCCATCTATAAAGGGCAAAGGGGATCTCCTGCAAACACGAGTTAGGAGCCAGGAATGTGAACTTGCWGTCCCGGCTGCTGGGGTGGTGTGGCTTCGTTCCCAGCTAGAGGGGTAAGCTGTGTCCCATGATTTTTCTGAGGAGTGAGATGCCCACGTGGAATGTCTCAAAATGGGCTGGTCCCAGAACAGGCTCCATGACACCAAGGCTCGTCTCTGCACGTGTCAATGGCATTGTTCGGAACCACCCTCCCAGGAGAAGGCTCCGGCCCCAGGGTCCCCTCCCTGCCTCCTCCACCTCCCGGCCACCTGTGGCTCACCACTGAGAGGATGGGGCACGGTGAACTGCTTCTTGTTGGCGCGCACRGGGAGCCGGCTCTGCTTCTGCTCTGGGTGCTCCGTCTGCTGGGCCTTCCTCTGCTGCACCCTGCGCTCCAGCTTTCTCAGCCGCTCTTGAGAGCGAGAGATGAACTGAGGCCTGTGGGCCTCCAGTGCTTCCTGGTGGGACACAGGAAAAGTTTTATTTTTAGGATAAGTGACATCAAAAGGCAACACGTCCATYGATCTGGCCAAGAGAAGCCAATCAAAAGTGTGACCTTCAGAGACAATTTTCTGCCATGACCTCAAGGGTACAGTTGTGTGGACAACACGGGTCCTGGTGGTCAGTTCTGGCCAGCACCCAGAGCCCCGGTGCAGTGGCACACAGCAGAAACTAGCACCCCGATCGTGAGAACAGCTGCCCCTTTTACTTCCACCACTCAAACCGCTGGTGGCCAAAGACCCAGATCTGAGTGCCCGGTGTCCCCCATTCCAGAGAGACATGGGTGGGGACAGAAGGCAAGCTCTGAGTCACTTGCTCCTGGTGGGGGTTGAAGCCTTTAAGGCCACAAACATACCTTACCCATCCAACCAGGTGGAAACGGGCCTTTCGGGAGAGGCCATGACCGTGGCTGGGGGAAAGCAGCTCTCCCCGGGTGGAAGCGCTGGGAGCGAATCTCTGCCTGTGCAGAATGGTCTCTGGGCTCCAGGACAGGTCGGAAGTCCTACCACGCCATGTGAGCCCTGTGCCCCCACCTCCCMATGCCAAGCCACTCACACAGGTTTGCTGAAGAGACTGAGGGCCACYCTGCCAGACCTGGCTAGGTGCTCTCTGGGGACTGGTCCCTTGGAATCCCCACATTCTTTCTGGAAGGCAGGTGTGTTTATTCCCACTGGACAGATGCAAACACAGAGGTAGCTGGTAGCTTAGAAGATGGCATGGTGGCCCTCAGCTGTGCCAGTCCTGTGCTTTTTTCCTGTGCCACCTTTCCTGATGTAACTCCTGGTCTCTGAATGTCTCAGCCCAAGCTGTCCCCCTGCCTGAGCTACCATGCACAGCCATKCGGCCGGCTGAGTTCTGTCCCTGCTAGTAAGCCCTGTTGGATCTTCCTGTTTAGCCYGAGCATCCCAGGGCCTCACAGGCCACCTTGTGCAATGATGAATCACACCTGCTTTTCTCCATGTGAGGCTGTGAGCCCTGGGAGGCCCGGGCATGTCCCACTGACAACATCTCTCTCACAGGCCCTGCCGGGAGCTCTGCAAAGGCTCTCTGGGCACRCTGCTCTGACCCGTCCTCCCCCGCCCCACCGGAACTCAGGGCTCCCTGGGACAGGGCATGGTGGCTTCCATCTGTGTCACATATGTGTCCCTGGCAGCTGTGGCAGAAAGGGAGTCTCCTTGCCATATGCCAGCTGTGGCTGCTGGTGGGACAAGGCACCTGTCCCTGGATGTACTAATGTCAGAGGAGGTCCCTRTGGACACCTTGCTGGCCCAAGAGTGGCCGCTATGCATCTGTCCTCCCACCTGAGGATAGCCCTGGAGCCTCAGAAGCTTCGGGGCACCATGAACACTTCACAGGGCCCACTGAGGCCCCAGGGTGCAGGAGCTGACCAGTGGAGCCATCTCTGCCTCTGCAGGGACATTCACAGCAGACCCAGCGCCGGCCGTGGGGTGTGGCTGGCCATCAATACGCCATGGCAGGTCTGAGTTCATTTGCCCTCCTAATTTTTATAACTTTAAAAACTGTGCACATACCATTTTTATAATTAGGAAACATCCAATCACATCGTCTCTCTCCTTCATGTCATGGCCACCTGTTTTTGGAAGCTTCCTTAATCTTTCAAAGTCTCATCTGAAGATGGGGTATTTAGGGACTCCTGCCTGCTAAGGGTCATTTGAGGATCACAGGTGCTGAGGCCTATAAAGCGTCCTGTGTAAACTTTGAGCCCCTCTGTCATCGCTGTGATCGCTGTCACTGTGGAYAGCATTTGATCCTGATTCTAACCTGGAGTCAGTGTCTCTAGATCCATTCATCAAACAGTGAAGCAGAGGCTCAGAAAGGTTAGGGAAACTGCCCAGTGTCCCACAGCCTCTAGGAAGGAGGATCAGCTTCCAGCCTCAGAGGCCAGGGAAGGCCTTCCCCCCTGGCAGGAATCTGGCTGGACACACAGAGGCCTTACCTGCAAGGTCAAGGAGTTGGCAGGCGTTTGCTCAAGCTCAGAACCCTCTTGTGACAGGTCCAGGGTCTCTGCTCCTTGGGGTGCTGCTGGTGAGGGTGGCGCTGGTGAGGGCTCGGGCACAGTGGGGTCCTCACTCTTCTTACATTCTTTTATTTTTACAACCAGGTCACAGCACRTGTAATCTCCTAGGAGAAATTCAGAATTCCACTTAGAGGGCACCGAAGGATCCTCGCCTGGCTCCTCCACACTATTAGACACAGAAGACARTTTTGAAAATAGAGACGCCGGTGGGTTATTAATGGTCCTCGTTAAGCCAACAAGACGAGGCCTCGTCCCAGACCCTCCAGGCAGCAATGGTCCCGAGGAAGAACATTCAGTCATCTCCACCTCACGACTGGCTGATTATGTCAYGGAGGTATCTCCTGCTCCTGGTGTTTAGAAGGCCTGGCTCAGATGGAGAAGAAACTGTCCTCTTCTGKGCTTCCTATTAGTGTGCCCTGTGCGTGGCCAGAGTTGGGTTGTTTCAGGTCAGCATGTTCATCTGCCTCGTGTTTGCCGCGGTGATGACATGAGGACGGTGCTCGGTCACTCATCCTCCCCTTGGTTTTCCACAGTCTGCTGCCGGCTTTACAGAAGTAACTGGAATGATTGCTCTCTCGGGGCTGGTTCCAGTCCCTTCCTGGGGCCATTTTGATTTTCCTTTGTGGAAACAGTCAGGAAATGAGTRGATTCCTCAGCCCCTCGGGTAGGGCAGCCTCTGAGGAGGTAGGAGGGAGATTCACAGCATTCACTGGCCCCTTCCTGACCAGCACTCGGCCTGGGACCCAYGAGGGGTCTCTATCCTGAGCCCACCCTTCCCAGGCTCCCTCTGCTGCTCCACCTGCACCCTCCCCACCCGACCACAGCCACACCACCCGTCGCCCTGGGCTTGGCAGCACCTTCCTCATCTCCCACCTGCACACACCCCTTTGACTCCACTGCCCCGTGAGGTCCAGCCTGCAGCCCCAGCTCCAAGCTTCCAACGTTCAGGGCCTCCTCCCTCTCCAGGGCAGAGCCCACGCCTGACTCTGCTGTGTTTCTGCAGAGGAGCACCTTACGCCCACCCAGCAGCATGTGCCAAGAGGTGGGGTCAGAAGATGCGGTTAACCCCACCYGCCTGAGGCTCTCCAGGGGCTGGACCACTTCCTACTCAGTCTCCATCTGCCCAGAGCTCCACACCAGGTGCTTAAAAGAGGTGAGGTGGCCTCAGGAGTCTCACGGGCCACCAGAGACAGCTCATACAAACCAGGCTGTCACTGTCACTTTATCCTCTGTGGCAGGACTAGCTGYACTGTCCACTCAAAATCCATCCACATTCCCTGCGCCCTACAGCCCAAGCTGACTAGACCTTCGGGCCTCCATCTCAGTGTCTACCTCACTGAGATTCTCTCCCGACACCACTCCATCAGAGGCTCCCACCCCATCTGTCCTTTGCTCTCGTCCCAYTGGAGGACTTACCCATGGCCCCTCCACTTTAGGAGTGACCACGAGGCCCAGCTGGCTGAGAGCTACCACTCAGCCRCGAGGCTGGCCCCGTCCCACATGGCCCCAGGCCTTGCTGTGAGGGTGTTCTCCAGCTCATGGGGAAGCCACAGGCCGCTGGCTCCCTCTCCACTGCTGTCCCCACCAGCATAACCAGCTGCCCGAGGGCCAGTCTTAACAATCCTGTCTTCCTCGCTGCTCATCATAAGACCTGTCTGTCAGAGGCAGAAGGTCTCCACCCCAGTGCCCCTTCCACCCAGTGACYCTCTGCTGTCCTTTCCTATTGGGTCTCGGCTCAGCCTTGCCCTGCTCCTGTCCGCCCACTCTGCTCCTGAGACAGTACCTTTAGAGCGAATCTCGCCGTGTCTTCTCCCTGCAGGGCCTCAGTCCTACCTTCAGTCCAGACCCCCTTGGTGGGTTCAGAAGAGTCTTCTGACCTGACCCWTGGGACCCTTGATGACCACACCAGGCCCCGGCCCTGCACAGGGCACCTGGCATGCCCCTTGCCACTCCGTTGTTAGCCCTTGCCTTTCCTGAGCTCCTAGGGTGTGAGCCTCCCCTGCCTGCGGTGCCCTCTGCCCTCAGGTCTGATTCTTAAATCTCTAAGTTTCAGGGAAGGCTTCACCTTCTCTTCAAAACCATTTTTGAGGGGAAGACACTTCTGCCCAGACCGGGCCAGGGCCGTCCTCGGCTTCCTCTGGGCACCCCTCAGACGCAGCCCTGCTGCCGACCCTTCCGCACAGGACTGAGAGCCTGGAGTGGACGCACCGACCCCAGAGCCTGGCATGCAGTGGCTGTTTAATAATTGCTTCTGTGATGGGCTAATGAGGGAAGAGTTAGGGATTAATCTAGGTTCCRAGTGACATGATTTTTTATTAATTATAATCAGGCCTCTTTCTTTCTGCCCTTTCTGTAGTTGTTTRTGAACATCTTTAGAGTAACAGGAAACCCTGTTCTTATGCTGACGTCACAGGGCACCGCAGACCATCCCATCACAAGCTTGTGTCTCTTTATACATCGTCATTTTCTGCACATTCAGGTGGCCAGCAGCTCAACCGYCCGAGAGAGTGTACCTGTGTCCTACTGGGTTCCCTCCTCTGAGAGGGACCTGCCTGGAGGGCGTGGAGGTCCGTGTGCTCATACTGTTAAGTGTCACATGGCCACACCCCTACACCGTGGTCCCTGCCCATGAATCACAGGGCCTGGGTCAGTCTGGCGGGCAGGCAGTCTCCCCAGCAGCCATTTCTTAGCAAAGCCAGGGAGCCTGCTGTGCACCTGCGGGTGGCCTTTCAGCCTCAGTCTGTACCAGCTTTGTTCCAGRTAGGGTGGGGACCCATGGCCCACGTGGGCCTGCCTCTGGCTGCGCACAAGGTAGAGCTCAGCCACCATGAAGCCTGATGCTCTGCTTCCTCTCTGCTCTCAGGCCTCCGTAAGGCCAGCAGGTGAGCCTCGGCGGGGAAGGCTCTGGGCTGCCTCCCAGGAGCATCAAGAAGGGACCCCCTGGACCGCCCCTGCTCCTTACCTTCGGGAAGCCCTCTTTCTATCTGAGCACCAWTGTCTTCCTGCAGAGTCGGCCTTGCCTCTTGCAAGGGGCACAGAAACCCAGGCATGGGGACTTTGGGACTCAGGAGGCTTGGATGTTGTCTCTCTCTGGGCTCAAAAAGGTCGCTAGACTCACAGTCATYGCTTGGTGGCCTGTCCCCATCGGGAGGGAAAGGTTTAATGGGCTTCTGTTCCTCGGGGGGAGCAGACAATGACACACACGCTGCTCCGTGCTGCTCCTTGGTGCTTCCAGAATATACTTTTGTTTCTACTAAAAATAAAATGAAAGTTGTGCTCAAAATATCGGCCAAGACCACATCTGAAGTACTGAGGTCTACTGCCCCCTGCTCTGGAAACGGCGGAGAGCTTGGCAGTCAGGGCCCCATGGGAGGTTTAGCACCTCAACTATAGGGCCACAGTACCTGGGTTCAAATCCCATGTCTGCACTACCCAGCCTCCACTGTAATGTAGATGACAATATAATAAATTAATAATATTAAATGGCATTCATTTAATTCTTTACATCACTCACTTTATATAATAAAATATATTTTATATAGTTTACTTGATTATATATATCAAAAATATCAACTATTAAAGTGGAGGTACTAATGTAATAATAATGCACGTGAAGTGTTTGGTTCAGTACCAGCATTTAATAAGCACTGTTATTGTTATCAGGCAAGGTCCTGGGGCCAACACAGATGTCGACCTGCCTCATCAGGTCMCTGCACAGTCCGCAGGCAGTGGGCCCACAGGCGTGTCCAGCATGCTGCCTGCCTCCACGCCGCGGCAGCAGAGCTGGACACTGCCTCGCACCCACCAGCAGTGGACGGGGTCAGTAAATCATGTGTGACATGCTTCACAGCAGTTAAAAAGAATGAGTCCATGCGGAATGATCTCTGTGACAAAAGTCGTTAGGGGACTCTCGCTCTGTTCCCTCCAGTCCCTTCTCCACAGTAAAGAAAGGGGCATGACCTCCCACTCTGGCAACAGCCCCGAGCACCCAGCAAGGCCTCGGTGCAGGGGAGCCTCCCGGCCCGTCCGCCTGAGCCTCTGCGTCCCAGCCGAGGGAATGCACTTCTGGTGAGGCCAGGCCCTCAGCCTGTGAGAAGCACAAAGACTTTGGGACCAAGCCCCCRCCCCCAGCACCCTCCTGGCTCTGGGGTCCAGCCCAGGAGAGTCAACCTGGCAGCTCAAGGTCTGATTCACCCAGGGGGTAAACTGAGTTTTCCATGTTCTTCTGAACAAACAAAATGTCGTGACGTTCCAACCAGGTTCCAGGGGGGGTTGACACGTTGGAAGGATTAAAAAGTACATAATAAAATAAACAAACAAAAAAGGCAATTGTAGTTAGATCTTGTCATTTGGAGAGGAGATTGATCCACTAGTGGCAAAGTTGCACTTTGCTAAATTGTACAGAAATAGCTTTCCAAACTTTTACCTCAAAAATCATCAATTCTATTTAAGTAAAAAACAAGTAGGCAGAAAAAAGCCCTAAAATAGTCACTCCTTTCCACGTGGCCTCTTTTGATTCGAAGCTCTCTTAAAGAATCCAGAAACAAATTAGTTATCAGTGATAAGAGACTCAGTCCGGCTGATGGCATAGATCCATCCTGGTTTGGTTCTTTAAGCTGGTGGATTTATTTACAGATTCATGGACATAAATCAATCAATATTTTCATCTGTGTATTACCTGTTGACCTTTTCATCGATCATCTGTCTGTCTGTTGGAGTTTGGATCCTAAATGGCCCCCAAAGTCCTTGTACTAAAGCCTCAGTTGGTGCCACTGGAAGTGGTGGAACCTCAAGCAGTGGCCTGGTGGAGGACGGAGGTGGGAGGGGGATATGGGCGGCTGGCCACTCCTCGGCTCTCCTCTACCCCAGCCAGGAGGTGAATGGTCTGCTCCCCGATGAGCTCTCATCAGGATGCACTGCCCACCCTGCACTCAGGGCCCCAACACCAGGGATCCACCCAGCTGTGGACTACGGCCTCCCACACTGGGATCCAGACCRGCTTTCCCCCCGGGTGCTGACTGCTGGGGTCTCTGCACTGACGGAGGGCTGCCGCTGCGGCAGGTCCATGCACATTCTCCTGGGAGTGGCCCTGTGTGCGGCAGAAGTTCCACTAGTGGCTCGAGAGCGCTAAACCCATGGCGGAAAGTAGAACGGAGTTCGCTTACTGGAGAAAAGAAAAATGTGGCCAAGGAAGAGCTTTCCCACAGCTTTTKGATTGGGCCTCTTTTTGTGGACTCTGAAATGCAGAGCAGGATGGTGTCGCAGGCAGGCCTTCGCAGGGTGGGCATGTGCCCTGTCTCCGGCCCACACTATACAGACAGACTGCAATTAAGAGCTCTTTAGTCGTGCCCTACGTTTTAAACCACCTCWCCCCAGGGAAGACCCGCGGCCACTGTGGGCTCTGAAGCGGCCTGTGTCCGRCATTTCTATTTCTCCACTAAAGCTTTGTGCCTCCTTCCTGGGTCTGGCGTGTGGCAGAGCTGCGGTAGCACAAATTTCCTTTAGAGTAACGTTCTCCTATTCCTTTTCCTAAAGTCAGTTGAGAGTCCACAGCTCAACCATCCAGCAACCCTGCCTATCCCAGAATTGAGCTGTGGACCAGGGTGAAAGAAAACCAATGAAAGTGTTCTGTTTGACAGTTATGAATGGCTTCRACCAATTTCATATCCTTGACTCACAGAAGAGACCCTTGGACCATAATGTGGGGCCTGTCTATGCTCTCCTCAAGCTCATTGTCAATGGAAAATGCACAGTATTTCCAATGTCAAGTTAACAGGGCACCCACCGAGCCACCTCCTAGGCGAAACGTTACCCAGGCTTCGGACATGACCTCTGAGCCCCTCCTGGGTGGTGCCCAGGTTCTTCCCAAACACAACCTCACACTGAGTCAAACATTACTTTATTAATTCCTTTTGTCTTCAGGACTCCTTAATCAATATGCTCTTCATACCAAAATCCGGAATAGCCAGCACAAAGCCAGTTGTTTTCAGGGAAGGATGTCATTGTGTCTATTAGACAAAAGCTTCCAGCAGAGAGTTCAACAGATGGGCTGAGCCATAGTGTCTTTGGGAGCATATGGATACGATTCTGGGGAAGGTATTGTAAGTCATGTCCTGAACATGGGGGCTGACCCAGGTGGGCATCAGGAAGGCAGCAGGTTCATGCACATTCTCCCGGGAGTGGCTCTGTGTGTGACCCTCAGTGGCCCAAGGCAGGTAATTGTCACATAGAACTCACTTTAGAATCATGTGTACACAAATCCTGTGTGGTAGGTATGCTGGCTGGCAGGAAGAGGATCAGGAGAGCGGGCCACTCCAGATTGTCTGCTCTTGACCTTGACCTGTTCAACTGAGGGCCTTGGGGACAGGTTTTAATGCAGGACATTCTCCACAGTCAAAAGCACATCCTAAGCCAACCCAAGCAGCAGGGCAGGTGTGGGAGAGCAGGCCCCTCAGCAATCCGTCATCCACACCAGCTGAGACCAGGCGTGAACCTGGGGTAGACGAGGCCCAGCAGCCCGTGCAGGCCTTTGGAGCAGTGTGAGAATGAACGGCCCTTCCTCAGCACTCTACCTGCCCCACCAGAAAGTGCCTCTGGTATAAACCGATTTTATAGGACAGGCGCTCTCCTGCTTCTTTCCCGGAATGAAGGAGACCCACAGATCTTTGGTGGCCTTCAAGGAGCCCTTCTTGAGCCACTGGCCCTCCATGGGCACAGCTCTAACAACGTGGTACTTTAGTTCACATTAAGCCAGAATGTGCTGAATGGTTGCCAAGAAGGACCAGCACAGCTGCAGGACTCTGTCACCCAAATTGCAAAAGAAGAGCAAGAAAACCACGAATAGTAGACACACAAGCCCAGAGAGGACAGCTGACTGGGACACTCAATGGCCCCAGGCAAGTAAATGTCATATAGAACTCACTTTAGAATCATGTGTACACAGATCAGTTTAAATTTTGTTAAAGGTGTTGAAGATGAAGCGACATCTCCGTAGAACCTTCATCCTGGTACAGAGAGATTGTCTATTGAGGTTTTAGGGGCTCAGCTTTGTGCAGATTCCTGCCTTCTTGAAACAGATCTCAACCATCCAACTAACCAAAGAGGCACTTCTGAACAAAGCCTCCTTGAATCTAAGACATATTCCTCCCTCCCCAAGTTCAATGCTGCTGGTGGTGATTTTCCCCTTTGAAAGCTGGATCGCCTTACAACTAACGGCCTGTTTCTTAGTCATGCAGTAATTGAAGCTKGTGTGGGTGTCTCTGGGCATTAACATAGACACCGATTCCTGAACTTAACTGCACGTGGGCCTCAGGATCTCCTAAAAGTTCCAGTGCWATCTGCCTCTACCCTGTGTGGCCCTACGCTGCTCTCCACCCCCACAGCCTTTTAAAGCCCGCTGTCTGCATTATATAGAGCTAACCATCTCACCTTCCTTCTTCACCTTCTGAGTCGGCAAACCCCAGAACTGTAGCATCAAACTGGAAACCAAAAAGTGGGCTTGATGGCGTGGGTGTCAATCAGACAGAAGTCTGCTCTGAGGGACACCTGTGGGTGAATGGAGGATTCTCTCTTTCAGTAGGGCTTTGCCGTCCCTTCTTTTGGCACTGGGACAAAGAGTGCTGCAGTGGCAGGCTGGGAAGTCTACTGCATGGTGCATGTGCATCGAAGGACACAGAAGTCACCAAAGAGGAAGGAAGATGGGAACAACGGAGCTCAATAAGCACTTATCACGGTTTGGATCTCAAATGTCCTGAAAGGCCACGTGTTGAAGTCTTGGTCACCCCCTTTAAAAGGTGGGGCTACGTGGAAGGAAGTCAGGTCACGGGTCCATGCCTAGAAGGAGGTTTCGTGACCCRGCCTCTTCCACTCTCTCTCTTTCTTCCTGGCCGCCACGATGGTAGCAGCTTCGCCCCTCCACATGCTCCACTGTGACGTGCTCTCTCACCCTCAGACCAGCAGCCAATCAACCACAGACTGAAGCCTCTGAAACCGTGAGCCAAAATAAATCTTTCCTCCTTTGAAGTCATTTTTATCGCAGGTATTTTGTTACAGTGAAAGACAGTTGACTCACACAATGCGCAGCTTCCTGGCAAGTTTATTATTCTTCTCCTTTCAAAGGAGAGAGACAACCTGAAACACCTTCAGTTCCAACACATGGAAAACGAAATGAAAGAAAGCAGAGTTAGCTGGTGGCCTCTGGAGAGACAAGTCAGGGAAAACAGAACATGGTGCTATGTGCAAGGCTGGTGACAT